TCAAGCGTGTCAACTACACACTCCTGCACGCTCTCACTGCACTTTCAAAACTAAAGCTCCGTCTTCTGAGACATTTGCTCAATGAGCTTCATGCGCTGCTTGACCTGGGTTGCTCTTGTTGCCGTACTGAAGATGAACGGGCGTTTTTACCCAACACCCAAGGTTGGTCTGCCTCTCTCTCTCTCTCTCCCTCCCTCTCTCGCCCTCCCTCCCTCCCCCGTCCTCCCTCTCCCTCCCTCCTTCCACCTCTTGCATGTCTTGTCACCCGCTGTCCAGCCCTAACTTTGATGAGGGGTCGCCCACCCCCAGCACCTACCTAGTCACTGAGGCTGAAATACCTGATCTGCCGTGTTGCCACCACCAGGGCCTACCTACTATAATATATACACTTGTAGCCGTCACTGACGGTTTCATGAAAGGACTTAACTTGCAAACTAGTGGCCCATTTCAAGGCATCTGGCTTCATGGAAGCACCGTCCTTCTCGAACATGCCTGGAACATGAGGATAGAAATCACGCATTGTGTTTAGCTCCGCTGTCCTTCATAGGCAGAAGCTTTCGTTCGTCATGTCCTTTGAAGTTGGAGGCTCTGGCATCTCTTGGGATGGCTAGAAAGCAACAAGAATGATTGCCATGCCTTCTGGACTTTTTGGAAGCCAAGGTGCCCTTGAGGCGCGTCAACTGGCCTTGAAGGTCAGCATTGGGTTTCCTTGGAGCCCAAAAAATCAACTGGATGTATGATAACGTCTGGCGCCTGCGCACACGGACGATATCAAGTGATATCCGGGTATTCCATATTCAATGATATTCACATACGAGTACATGTATTCTTGCTGAATGAATAGGTACCAGTACCAGGGTTCTCGCATATCGTCTGAGGGGGCCCGGTGAGCTGTGTTCACCGGAGCAAGCACAACCGCTCACGCTACGGCTCCTGCGGAACGGAACTCGAGGAAACGGCATGGATGGAGGTGCCCAACTTTTGTTGGAAATCATGATGGTGTGGTGGAGATCTGTGCTTCATGTCCCACGCGGGCGCAGCGTTTAGTGTGGTTGGCAATTTGCATCGCTGTGAGGATTTGTTCGAATCGAAGCTGAGTTTGCGTGACAAGTCTCAGCTAGAAGAAAATTAAGTAGTGCATTTTTTGTGTGCGGCGTGTGTACGATGTTGGAAAGTGCCGACACTGTCACCATTCCAAGTATGTGTTGTGCAAGGCTTGCTCTACCCACAAAGGCGTGGAATTGTCTCCCCCGTGGCAGGCAAAACAATCTGAAAATGGAATATTATTGTTATGTCATATTACTGTATGTAATTATAAGTGCAGAATCCTTTTGTGAATGGGGATGCGTCTAGATTGCTTCAGGAGAGGGTCGCATGCGACTGCGCCATGGATTGCGATCTGCGAGAGCCATGGTGGACCGGAAGGCGCATTTCCCACGTAGCGCCCGGCCGGTGGACCGGGCTGGTGGCCGTGGTACGTCTTCAGTTACGTCCCGACGGTACCGTTCCTCCACTCAGGGGTTTGGTCCGTAACCCCTTGAAAAAACCCTCCTCTCCTGGCTTGGTTGGGTTATGCGGGGTTTGCAACGAACATATCGATAAAAAAAGAACATTAAAATATACTTTAACATCTTTAAAAAAGTACAAATAGCACAAAAGATTGGATCACGTGAAGCCCCGTGTGATTCATAACAGGCCCCTTTTTTCAGCAAGCGAAGATAGCGAAAAGACTGGAGGTGACACATATGCAAGTCATCGTTGACAATTTAGATTGTACGGTGGGCGAATCGTGACAAAAGATTTCTTTAGATCTCGTGGTATGTTTTAGTTTTGATCACTTTACGCTCACCAGAAAGATTGCGACCAATCGCGACCTGTGCTGGTGGTGGTTCGTAGTGTGCAAAATTTTGCAACACTATCAAGGTAATATCAAGGGATATCGGCGAATTTGTACGGTAAGGTGCCAGGACAATTGTGTGGCTCTTGGCAGTTTAAGAATCCGTATGTAACTTCCAATTTGGCAATGCGGGGCGACGTGAACAGCGACCCACGTGCGAGATTTGTTTTCGCGTGGTACGTGCTCACAGCTGCGGTTCAGTGGTCCACTTTCGAGTGAAGCACTGAGTGTCCTACGAGAGTGACCTGACAGAATTCCCATGAATTCACTGTTCGACCCGATTCGCTCTTTGGCTACTGAAATCCACTGAACCACATCCTCCACCAAGATTCCCAGACCACTTCTCGATAAACTTGACTTGCTGATCGGAGCAGCCCTTCTTGTCGCTGGGGTCACACATAGAGGCAAACTCTTCAACCCAATCGCGCATATAAGTCCTCAGTGCAGCTCCCAAAAGAAAAAGTGCACTGGAGTGAGGGGATGAGCAAAAGCATTACGCAGGAGCCCCTAGTAGCGTCCTTGCCCCTAGTAGCGATGCCAGGAGCCCCTAGTAGCTTCTTGTTCCTAGTAGTAAGGCCAGGAGCCCCTAGTAGCGTCCTTGCTCCGCCTCATGTCATTCTCCTTTCGTCTACCAATGTTCACCAACATCTGCCAAGCAAACTGCCTACCACTACCACGATCCTTCTGACGACTGAATTCCAAATGTTGGTTCCCTCATCTATCTGCATGTCTTCCACGTGAGACCGGTGAAATGGCAGTGAAAGCCGTGAGCCTAACTTTTATATAGAATGTTTTAAGCCCATTCGTTCCTTGAAAAGCTCTCAAGCCTCAAGCCATGATCAAGCCATCCTTTCTAAGACCGTTTCACACAAAGCTACGTCGCTACATGACACGTCGATGCTACGTCGCTCATTGCACACCGCTCTTTTTCTGCTTAGCTTCTCTTTGGGCCCGAGCTCATCGCACATCGCCTTGTCGGTTTTTTTGGGGTACGCTTTGCCTCCATAGCCCGTTTCCTTGTTGAAGTAGCGGACCGTGGGCCACCCTCCAGATCCTGGAAGAAACGGCAAACAACCATGAACGCCTCCATCTGCATCGTAAATATGCTTGGTGCATGTTGCTGGACTTGGAAGTTGTGATTGCAAGGCGGCACTGCAACACAAGCTAAGCTGGTTTCTGGGCCACTGCGTTGTGACCTCTTTGGATTGCAAGGGCCAACTTTGTGCCGCCTTCCCTCTCACGCTGACCGGCTAAAGGATGCTAAAGGTCATCTTGGAGGGTTGGTGCCCCTGGGAAAGCGACAAGCATCTTAGCTGGAGTTCAGTGAGCAAACTGTATTCAAAACATCCGTTCGCACCAAAAACGGAAACGCTTCTGGCCGAAAACGCTCAAAACAACTCGGCGCTATGGAAGAATGGTCCGGCACGACGGCAGCATGGCTATGGGTCAAAAGCCGAGGGGCTTGGTTGACCACTTGACCACCGAAAATGAACAAATTCCGCCAAGGGATGTCAATCTGAAAAGGTTTGGTGGGGGAGGTGCCATGACTCAGAGCCAGCAATGATGTGCTCAGGTCCCGTCCTGGGTTTTGGTTCTCTCCGTGAATTGTGCGCACCTCAGCACAAGCACCACAAAACCCCCGCTCACTACTGCCCTAGCAAGCTTGCTAAGAAATTCAGCCTGGTGAATTGAATTGAATCAAGATGGGTTGTGATATGTTGTGATGACATGTGATGACTGTGGGCAAATGAACTCGCCCATGCTGTGCCCATGCTGTGCTTGCCAAAGTCGGCACCCGTTGATGGACCATCATGCCCCTGTGACCTGTGAGTCCAACAACACTCAGGTAGACGCGCCTGGTTCTTGGAGAGTGCCACGTCTCCAAAGACCACATCTGGATGCTTGCCAAAGTCAGCAACGACAGAGTTCCAGCTTGGGGCCTGCTTGACTCATCAGCCTCAGCCTTCTGAGGCAATCCAGCGTATGAATACCTCGATTCAAGCGACAAATGAAAAAGGCGCTTTCTCGGACACACCGTTCGTGTATCTGGAAACTAGGGGCCAATCCCAAACCCTGCCAAACACATGAAACATGCTACACTTTTCATGTGGAACAACTCCGAACACTCAAACAGAAATCTGGTGGTGCAGCGTCCACATAAGCAAACACATGCAAACGCACAGATGAACAATTGGTTCGCAACATTGAGACCAACCTGCTGTGCACACCACGGGGAGAGGAGTAGGACCCAGAAACGGCTCGACGTTGTCTCGGATCAAGTGGCAGTCTTCCCCGCGTCGACGTTGTCCTTGACGAAAGCGTCTGCTGTGTCAGCAGTGAGCTCGGTTGAGAAATCCCAGTGATTGTCTGGGTATATCCCAGCCTGAACCCCGACGAGCAAGCAAATGTTGATCACCTTCGATAACACCATCATGCTCAGGAGTCGAGGCCCACTTGAGCCAAACGACTACTGTGTCAAGCTTAGCACGAAAAACCTGAATTAACTTGAACAAGAAAATGTAATTCGTTCCAAGTTGTGTCAACCGCATCCTGTCCGGAGGGATGAGTCTACCGCGCCTGCTCGGCAGGAAAGAAAGCCTCAGGCTTGACGTGCAAGCTGGACCCAGCAGTGTCAGACATGTTCGTGCAAGCGTGAACTCATGGTCACAGAACTGCCACAGAACCAGCTCTCAATGTTCGTCTGGGAACTGAGAAGGCTTGCAGCAAATTATAGCCCCAAAAAAGTAAAAGTGGCCAGGCTACAACTCGCCGCACTTGTTTTCTCGCATGTAAGTTTCAGTGCCGTGCGCCGGGCGCCGGAGAGAAAGCCAATCGGCAGAAGGAAATGCGAAAGCATGCAATGAGATGCAATGGGGTCGCCACCTTTCCCAATCATAAACGAAGAGAAAGGTCACCTTTCCAAGGCTCCATCCCAGCAAGCATGCGCAGGTAAAGTGTAGGGCCTATTTTCATGAAGCTTCGCTGGGAGTAAGAGTCAGTCATAACTCGGGATGGCTTTGGAAATTAGTAAGATTCACTACGATGGCAATGGGCACAAGGGAAACTGCTGTGAGCTTCCACTACTAAAATGTACGTCTTGAAATCACGCACCCCGCCAGTAGTTTCCACCACCATTGCCTCTTCCGCCTTTCGCTTTGCCTTTGCCGCCCTTCCGGTCGGCTTTGCCGCCGTCCTTTCCATTTCCTTTGCTTTTGCCACCTTTCCTCTTCGGCCTGTCGCTCTCCTCATATCCATCGTCGCCCAGCCATTCAGACTCATCACCTCTGAGCGGCGGTTTGATGGTTTAAAGCTGCCCCACGAGCATCAAACCTAGATTGTAGTTGACACTAGCTAGAGACCCATTCGATTCCACTCATCATGACCAGTACCGAACAAAAAGGCCAAGATTTTGCACCAGGCAAGCTTTCTCAGATTGATTGAGAAAGCTCATGAGGAATCACTAAGCATCTCTGCCCTGCCTGCCAAGCCCATCGACCCGGTGGGAGTTGCCGGCGGCTGTCCGTTGAAGCGAGCGCTGAGCCAATCATCCATCTTTCGATCTCGCCAGCCCTTCTTCTTGGGAGCAGCACTGGCTTGGCTTGTGGGTGACCCACCTGGGCATGGTGAACAAAAGACAGAATGGATGGACCCACCTGGGCTGGGCTCACATGGATGGTCAAATGATGCACACTCCCTGACATAATCATGGTTACTTGGATGGCCTGGCCCCGTGACCCTTTTCCGAAGACCGAAGGGGCCAACTTTCATGAACGGCGACGCCAACTGGTCCTGGTCTTCCCTGGGCCAAGCTGCCTGGATTGTAGACAGGTGGGGCTTTCCCCTTTCCGGGCAGCGGCATTGGCATGGAAGACATAGGAACGGCCTCCGGCAACTTTGGCGACTCTTTCCTGAGGTACGATGTGAGGCGTGTTGGGTCGAGTTAGCATGAAGGTCTCACAGCCTATTCGTCTGCTTGTGGTGTTTCTTTCAAGCCTACATGGCCTGAAGTTGAAAGTGCCTTCTGCTGCAAGCACGCTTAAAACACCAAGAGAGTTCCCTTCTGAATTAAGCCAAGGGTCGGTTGCCATTGATCCTGCCGAATGCCTCGATTTTGTCCCTTGCCTACGTTGTTCTTCTGGACCTCTACCCACTTCTGTTGTGGCATATCCTTGCCCGCCTTGCCACCTCCAGATCCATCATCACCTGCTTTGTCGGCCTTGCCGTCTTTCTTCCCTTTTCCCTTCCCAAAGCCTGCCTTCTGCTGATTGTCCACGTTAGGCATGGCCCACATCTGCGCCATCTCTTGATCCAAGCCTCCTGAATCTTGGATGTCAGCCCACGGATTCTTGGGCTTTCGCATGCCCTTCTGCGTGCCATCCTGAGATGCCGACAGTGCCTGATTTCCTGCTCCTTTCCCTTGCTCTCCAGGCACGGCAGGCACTTCCGAGTCGGGGGCTCGAAAAAGATCTGGACGTCCCGGACGGCTCGCTTGCCAGCTCGCACCTTGCTTTGGCTGAGTATTGCGACGCCCGGCGGCCATCCGCCCAGGACCCCCTTTGGCATCACCATCACCTGGAGATTCACCATGTGGAGCACCCGGGCCGTCACCGCTTTGGGGTCCTTGCGCCTGCCCTGGTTGGTTTCCGTGTCCATCAGGCATGTGTCCTTGCATATGGGCCATCTGGCCTTGCATGCCTTGCATTTGAGTCATTTGACCTTGCATCCCCTGCAGTCCTGCCATTCCTGGCTGCATCTGCCCTGGCCCTGGCGCTCCGGGCACCATAACAAATTGCATGCCGCCAGGGTGAAACTGTTGCCCACCCTGACCATTGGAACCTTGGGGTCCAGGGCTCATTGCTGCCGCCATTTGGCCTTGCACCATGTTTTGTGGCATCATCATGTTCTGCATGGGCTGGAAAACATAACCACCGCAACCACCACCAGCACCACAACCAGCACCAGCACCAGCGGCACCAGGACATCCACCACAGGGGTTGCCTTGGCACGGACCACCGGCTTGACCGTGTTGCATCATTTGATTGTGGGCTGCGTGCGCCACTTGGCTGTCCATGGAAAATTGGACCATCGTGCCATCAGGTGACATTCCTGGGGACATGCCTTGAGGCACTTGCATGCCTTGCCCCATTCCTTGTGCCATGCCTTGGGGCATGCCTTGTGGCATGCCCTGTGGCATTCCTTGATGCATCCCCTGAGCCATGCCTTGCATACCCATTGCATGGCCTTGCATTGCGTAGCTGGGATGAGGATGACCTTGGGCTTGGGCAGCTTGATTGCTCATCGGGACTTGTCCCACTTGATTTTGGAGCTGCTCCATGTTGCCAAAGGGCATCTGGGGCATCTGGCCCGGAGAGGACATCCCTGGCATTTGTTGGAACATCATCTGCCCTTGGAGCATCTCCGGCGAAAAGTGGCCAGCGTTGGCATCCATGGCTCTTCGACGTCTTGTCGAGTGCAAAGTCTTCGTTTAAAGCAATGTGTCACACAGCGTTGAACGCATCTGCTCAAATTCTACTTCTGTGTCATGTTTCGAAATCTCTTTCAAATCCTTCGCGCTTGGATTCTGCACATCCGGGCAGCGGGGCGCACATACATCATGCCGCATTGTGGCCAGGTATGGTTCATGAGATTTCATGAGTCGGACGCCCGCAGGAAGTCCATGCCAATGATCAGACTTCTAGAAACAAAGGGCCCCTGCAATGGTCCAATGCCATGGTTTTTTAGCCGCACCAATTCTCCGACAACAGAACCCGTCTGTGGTGTCTCCCTGGAAGAACCCTTGTCGTTTGTCCGTCCCTGCCTCCATCACGGGAGCTTGCCGGCCTCGGTCCTGCCACAAAACAGCAAGCTCAAGAGTTGCTGTCCTGTCTTGCCCGACAGATGAGGGCCAACACGCTGATGAACAGGTTGCACCACTAGTTACTAGCTATCGGTTCCTGAGCAAAACAGCACGGAACAGCCAGCTGTTCCGGTGAGGCCTCTGTGCCCTTCTCAGTCTCCTCATTCATGCACAACCCATGCGGCCCAAACTGCTGTTGTCTGCAAGTAATGTGGGGTCTGTAGCAGCTTCGTGAACAAGTCCAAATTTCGGCACTTTTCTTGGCATGCTCGTGGGCAAGGTCACATTTGGATATAATAGTTACAGTGTCGTGTCTCAAGGATCTAAGAACAGGCATGCAAGAATGTTTCTCACGCTGAGCTTGAGCATGCGTTTTGAAGTACTTGGTTCTGTGAGGCGATGGGAAACAGAGGGGTGCACCACAGCACTGGGCGGCCTCCGAACCCACCCGGGCAACTCGGCCACACAAAGGCGCCCAAGTAGAACAAAAACCACCAAGTAGACAAGGTGCGCCTCTTGTAGCGCCCACTTGGTGCCATGATTCTTTTGTGGGTTCTCATTGAAGAATTGAAGGGGTGCACTTGCCAAATAAAGGCCAACCTCCTGTGAAGCAAATGCAACTATATATATATATATATGTAATATATACACATGTATGTATGTATTTATGTGTGTGTGCGCGTGTTGTCTTTTCTCCTTTTTGCTCGCCCATTCGGGACACTGCTGGCAATTTAACTTCTTAACTTGGACTCTGCCAGGGTCATCTGTTGTAAGCACTCAGCGCTGGGAATGTTGAGTCACTCATCAAACAAGCCTTGGGTCAAAGTGCTCAGGTCTTCATCCCTCTCCGCAGCCCCTGCAGAGATCAGGGATGGATCGTTTTGCACACTGTTGAGCAACTCTGCCAGCGCATCATCACCCTGCAGCCTGCAAGAAAAGCATTCAACCGTGCACTCAACGATGAAATCGGTTGGGCTAACAGGGTTGCCTTTGGTATCATCCAAAGCCCCCCCAAACAAAAAGCATACACACACATTATCCAGGAGATTACGAGGTGGCAGGAAATCAGCATGCTTTTTTGTGAACTCTTCACATTGGAGGGAGATGCCTTCTTCACCAAACACACGTAATGCCATGCATCTCTCGTTCTTGCAGTGAAAACATGTGCTGTCTGTGCGTTCCGAATACCAAACAGGTGGCGCCATCCACTTCTATGTGATGGGTTCGTCATAGGGTTTTTCTGGTCGAAAGACCCCGGGCCCTGAGGTTCCCCACAAGACCTGGGTGTCCCGGCGGTCCACTGGGAGGGTTTGCATGCCTCATGCCTGACAAGACCCGGCAAGTCATAGGCCAGAGGAGCCAAAACCAAAAAAGAAGATTGAGACGCCAACAATCTCAATTCCAGAAACCCAAAAAAACACAACAACAGAGCTGACCCCGACCTGGCAACTCGCTCGGTTCTGGCACACTGATTTGGCCCTTCCGGGCTTCAAGGCCGGCCAGCAACGAGGCAGAAGCCAAGCGCAGCAGCGACGAAGCGTTCGCAGACTTTGTCGTCCAGACTTCGAGCTGAAGCACCTCCTCGTGACTTGTGACTCGTGACAGGTGATTTGGGTTGATTTTGGTGCAATAACCAACTGGGACCAACCAAAGCAACACAGCAACGCCACGTCTTTCTCGCATCGTGGTAGAGAGAGAGAGAGAGAAAAAAAAAAAGACAGCCTCTCGGGGTCTGTTCAAACCATTGCTTCGATGAATGCCCCCATCACAAGAAGCTTTATATAACTGTCACTGCGCGGTTTTCCCTTCAAAGAGCAGTCTGGGCAATTGAGAATCCCCCAGAAAGTCCCAATGCCATGATTTCTGACCAAAACCAACGGCAAAAAATCCAACTCGAGGAGTCGGATGATCCCGGTGTGAGTGGACCCGACCGGCTGGACCCAAACGGTCGAGTTGTGCATCCAACACTGGTTCACGCCCCACGCGGATCGGCACATCCGGCTTAGCCGTGGGAGCACTGCGCCTGATCTTCCTCTCCAGTGATCAAATAGTTCACTTTCTTCACCTGATAGCAACAAACATGCCCCACACTGCACACGCCCCGCCCAGCCAAGCAGGGCTTGTTCTCCTCCGACGGTGGACACATTTAAAGTGACATGGCTTCACATGTTGCCCGTGTTCTAGTTGCTTTTCAGGAAAGCACGTGGGCAAATGCTTTCCGACTCCGGCATCTCGTTTATGTCCCTTTCCTGGTAGTCCCAATCAGAACTGTGACTCATGGCACTTGAACAACATCACTTGGAACCCTGACTTATCCGTAGCAGAAGCCTCTTAGCATGTGAAAAAATGATGAAACCTGCCAGAACCCCTTTTTATAACACCGACCACCCCACAGGCCAAACGCGACGTTGTGGGACCGGAAATGTTCAAAGGATCTGTGGCCCCCAAGGATCGGTGGCTTTGGAGTTCCGTACGCTTTGATGATTCAAAGGTTGATGACACTGCAACAAACCAAGGCCACCAAGGGAATCATTGCAGCAGGAGGCACTGGCGAAAAGAGCGGTGGAACCATGAGCCAATGGTCAAATCGAAGCCGTTGGCGATATTCTTCAAAGGCTGGCGCAATTTCCCATTCCTTCAGGCTGGAGCTGTTCAATGAAACGCTATGGTATGACAGGTAGGACGGTATGACTACCCATTTATAAAAAGCGCGCACCAGAATGACCTCAGGACAACTTCGGCAAACCGATCACAGCTGCAGCCATAAGTCTGGGAAAAGCCTACCTCCTGCCCTACACCGGAGTGCATGGTGAACAATCCCGCCAATTGCTAAGTTGCCTGGTTCTGTCCACCTATCCAAGGCACAGTCTGCGAGCAGCAGGTGGCTTCTACTTCAAACTCAATGATGGCAGGGGCTGAGATAGTTAGTAAATGCTGATCCACAGGCAAGCACATAGGCCTTTCGTAGAATGTAGAGCCATCAATCGCATCCTCAAGAACGGTCTTGGAGGGATCATCTTGGCCCTCTGAGCCCACCACATATTGACTTGTAACTGGTGGCATGTGAACCTCTGGCGCTAGACTTCCTAAAGATGTAGAATTAATTGAATGACCAAGGATCCAAATCACTGGCTCTTACAGCGCAAGGCCCACATCTGCGAGCAATCCAGCGCCAACCTCTGTGTCTGTGTGCCGTGTGTGCGTGTGTGTCATGGATAGCAACTTGTCCCAAGTGTCTGAGTCAGTTCTTCAACACACCAAACTGAACGAGTTTCAATGGGGACCGGGAAAAGCATTGAAACGGTCTGCCCTGTCTCCAAGCACGACAATCAAAACACACGCAGCTTTGGGCCCAGCAACTGTCTGGTTGATTGGAATTGGGAGCTTCTGCAGCAAGAGGCAGGTTGCTCGGTAGGTACCCAGCAGGTGCGACAGCTAGATGTTGGACAAACCGCACGACATCGATCATAGACTCCTGGGGCCAGAGCAGGTCGGGTTTGGATGGTGGTTGCTTTGGCAACACCATAAAAACCGGGAAGTGAGGGAGGTTGCCTTGTCAGGTCACGGTCTTTGGTGCTACTTGTCCAAGACATGGTCTTTGGATTCTCTGGTGCTAGCACAAGTAGCCTCCACACGGGTGTTCTTTTCGCCACCTCTGAACCAAAAAAAAAGAATGAAGAAAACAGCAGTGTCCTGCACGCCCGGAACAGAGGCATATTCATGCAGTGCAGGTTGAGATCGCGATACAAAGACCTGCAGCTGAATGCAGCTGAATGGTACTGCAGCACGTTGCAGCACTGCAGTGTAACTTTTTTGTTGAGCTTTTCATGCCGCATTTCTTCCAAGGATACAGTAAGTCCAACGGAAAGGATCGGCGTTCCGGCTTCCCGCCTTCCCCGTCGCCACCTCAAAGGATCTGCGGCGCAACCGGAAAGCGACGGGTGCAACGCTTCGAAAGAGGTCCTGTGCCACGCTTCGAAAAAGGTTCTGCAGGAGAAGCAGCACAGGAATACCTATAGACCCCCAAATAGATGATAGTAGTAAAAAGATAGTAAAAGATAGTAAAAGTAGATGCCCACCAAAAAAAATGTAATGAAAACCATGTCACTATCATTCACTATCTATTGGGAGATCATTATACCCTATCCGAAGTTAAAGGTCTAAAGGTCGCTGCCAGTTCTTCTCCTGCCGGAGTAGGGTTCGCCGCAGCGTGTTTCCTACACTCCGTGCTTGGCGTACAGGTATTCCGTCGACGCGAAACCGGCAGTAGGAGACATACTCGTCGGACACATCCTCCTCCTGGACGAAACAAAGACAGATGTCACAAAAAATGAATCACAGACAGATGGCCACATTGGAAACATTTGGAAACCATGACCATTTCGTTCCAAAATGCTAAGAGCCTTTTGGGAAGTGAGTTGTGTGTGCCGTCTGTCCTCCACTGACCAAAGCTTGTTGGCAGGGTCTTCATTCACAAACTCTCCATACGACTTGAAGACATGTGCGAGCGTATCCTCCACAAAACGATCCATATGGCACGCACGTGCCATTATGCATCTCGTGTTCGTTTGAAGTGAAACATGGGGAGAAACTGAAGAACCGAAGAACCTGTCACAGCTGACCAAAAAGACTTCTGACGAAAAGCTTACAGAACGTTCGACAAGCCGAGGCATGGTCCTCTAGTTTGGCATGAGTTGCAAGCCTGCGTTGTCGTCTGCCAGTGAGGCTCACGCCAATGCAAGGGATCAGCAACCTGAGTTCGGAACAAGTATGGACAAAAATACAAATAACATTGTCATACATTGTCACTGAGAATCCCAAAAAGGCACCATCCGCGTGCCCTAGATGTCGTGAAAGCTGCTCGCACTCTGTGGAAAGCATCCATGTCCATCAAAATAAAAACGAACCGCCGACCGGGGGGCGAAAGATGACCCGGGCCGGTCGGCGCCCTCCGGTCGCCGGTGCGACCTCTTCGCTCGAGAGCATCGGCTTTTAGACCTCGACCAGGTCTGGTAGGTCTGGACTGCCAGGTTGGTGCGTGAAGGGGGGGGCAACTGCACCTCCATGGCGACCCCTCGTGTGCGGTTGGCTAAGCACCAGCCAGGTCGTGTACTTTCTCCACCGTGTCTGCTATAAAGTCATGAAGTCAGGCAAGTTTTTATACCAAAACATCCAACCAGAACTTGCCACCCAAAAAATTGGTCGTCTGCAAGGTTTACCAATTCGTAGGTGCTTAAGTTTCAGGAGCATGGCCCATGAGTCCTTTGACTTTGTGGGGCATACCCTCATTCATGAACCTCGTGGAATGAAGCGAAAAGGCTGCGCTGCTACAAATCAATGTATTTCACCCAGCGCTCGTGCCCGCAAACACAAAGCGCCGCATCCTCAATAAATAGCCTCTTTGTCGCATGCCAAACTCAATTTCTGGACTTCCTATGCCAATGCAAGTTCGGCACCCGTTTCGCACGTTGCTGCAATGACTCCTTTTTGCGTCCTTCTAGCACTTGGGCCTACGTATCTTTTGGCTCAAAGAACCAGGCTCAATGTCAAAGACACCGCCCAAAAAAAGGGTCAGGTGATCAGGTGATCAAAGGCATTGCAGTTGTGCGCATTTGGACTCCAAAAGTTCAGCGTTGTGCTCTTAAGAAAACTATGCTCTTCATGTCACTGGAGCTCATGCCTTCAAAGAGTCGCTCCGATGCGAACACTCAAATATTCCCATGCCTGGCACATCTCACGAACTTTGGTGCATCAAGTCCAGTCTTCAAGCGGAAGCCGAGATTTCAGGTGTGTGGTTTGGTTCCCAAACCTTGTGTTTGATGGCTGGGTGGGCTTGTCATTGCCGTTGTCAAGAGGCTATCCGCTCCATTAAAGCTCTTCCCTCATATCGTTTTGTAAATCTTGTGACTCTCTTGGAAAAAATATACTGTATATATATACTATATTGTACAATTATATATATATATATAATGCCTGTGAGAATCTTGATATCTGATCATCTCTACAATGGATTCCAGTCAACACCCAACACCATTGAGGGTGCAACAAATCGATGCCTCTGCTGGGAGGAGAATGGTGGCCTGGTTGCCGAACAGCTCGGGCGACAGTGACATGTAAGGGGTCATTGCGGCGTCTTGCTCGGTTCTAACAATCAATGAATCAGCCCTAGCAGGGCTATGGGACGCTATCCAACCTATTCTGCGCGTTGCCGCTTCTTAGCAAGAGATGTTCATTGATTTTCTAGGCATACTTGGTCATCTTGGCCCTGCACACTGGTAGCCAGCAGCAAGGTTGCAGCCAGCTGTCCTAAGAAGCAAAATGAAAGAATCCAAACACCTGATCTCTGGGGAAGTCAGGAGCAGCATAGCTGGGATGCTGGATCACCATGTCTTTTTGCCCGTCCCTCTTCGGGCAAAATGCGGCACAAACTCAGAGGCTCCCCTTGAGACAAGTATCCATACTTCCTGCTGTGGTGTGGTGTGTTGTAAGAAGACAACACAGTTAAGATTGGCAGTGTTGGTTCTTCTCTTTGAGTGTTTCATGGCTCTCCCTTGCCTCATATATAGTGCCTGCATTTATAGACTCGACGTTTGTGAGAATGTGATGTGCTCCCAACCATAGCAATCATAGTAACAAGGAGGGCGCTGGACACCAAAGCCAATGAACGATGCTGACCAGGCGCGCTCAACTCCAACAGCCGTAACATTGTCCTGTCCACAGTCAAAACACCAGTGCGTGAGCTAGAACTATATAAGTCCATGTCAATATGGGTGTGCATAGGAAGACCCTCTGGCCCAATGTGGTTGAATTTGCTCAATTTTCCGAACCTTCCAGGGCCTCGTTGCCTGAGGCTCTCAGAATGACCCCAGGCACGCTGTCACAAAAAACGACGCATGGTTCGTAGCCTGCGGAGGCATGACCTGGCGCTGACTGGTCGTTTCAAGAGGCTTACACTAGTGTTTGGCCAACAACTAAATCTACCTTCAGAATGTTTGGAGATGCTTTGAGAATCCCCCATGCTAAGAGATGTTCCACACCGGGCATTGACATATGTTTGCAGGATCCACTAAGCTGGCCTCTCTCTCTCTCTCTTTCTCTTTCTCTTTCCCTTTCCCCTTCCCTTTCCCTTTCCCTTTCTCTTGCTCTTTCTCTTGCTCTCTCTCGCTCTCTCTCTCTCTCTCTCTCTTGCTGTCTCTCTCTGTCTCTCGATAGGGGGCCACCATCTTTGACATGAGATCTATATATATATACTTGATGCACATTAGAATGGCACCTAGGTGAGTATACACACAAGGCCCAATGGAGAACTCGATCTGCAAATGCCAAACTGTGGAGAGGGTGAAAAGGCAAACATTCAAGGAGCGGAGGTACAAAAAGGATCATGGACGAGATCCATCAAAATAAAATAGATTTGCTCATGTCAAAAGCAGGCATCGCAACATGATACAGAAATGAACATTGGGAGTGGGAGGCTCAACAACAGCATCAAAAATCTCAAAAACAAAAACGATGGCCTCATCTGCTCTGCGACCCAGGAGGAGCTGAATCATGAAGATCTTGGCGTTGACAAATCAGGCAAACTGCTACGAACATTAAAACATTGAAGCCTAGCATCTTTTGAGCTGTCAATGTCTCTTAACTACCGGCCGTGTTTGGGGGAATCACGTACCCACGTTTCTCGGCTTTTGTTTTTTCATTGAGTACATATACTATATGCATACATGCACGCAACACGTGAGTCAGGAGCGACTGTGTGCATTTCAGTGGTTGGTAAAGCACAGATGCCTGGCGATGTCCACCCTTTTCATGCAAAGCCACAAGCCAGGGTGCTCGAAAATAAGGCCCACGCCAAAATAACCTCACTGGCAAAAATCCCACGCAAATCATCACGCCCTACCTGCAGCACCATGGCAGCAAAGTGGAGCATTGCCGCATCACATTCTGACTTGTACAGGATTTCACGCACCGCATTCACAAGTGTGCCGAGTTTTCGCGCAGCAGCTTCCTTACGGGCTCTTCCAGCCCCCACACAATGTGAATGGATCTCCCACCCAGGTGACACTAACAGCACTAACACGGAAGAGGCACCACTGGTTTTTCGGTCCCGGGGCCTCCAAGCACAAGCCTGCCAGACCTTGGAGCCGCCGGGTTCGGCTGGAATCGGATGCGGCCACGTCAAACGGCCTGCCAAAACGGGTCGTGTTGAGTGAAGGGATGGTCTATGATGGTCTTGTATGTGGAAGATCAAAAAAAACCCACCCCCTCAGCTTCAGCTGCTATCAAGTGCTTTTCGATCTGCTCATTTTCGGAATAACCATTAAAGGCTCAAAACCTCATTGTACTAAATGGTACTTGACAGGATGTATGTATGTATGTATGTATGTATGCTGTATGTATGTATGTATGTATGTATGCTGTATGTGTGTATGTATGTATGTATGTATGTATGTATGTATGTATGTATGTATGT